ATGTTTTATAAAGTTTCTTGTCATCAGAAGTTGGCGTAATTCAATCATATTATGATTTATACAGAGGGAAATGTGTAATCATATTATGACGATTCTTTGATGTTGTTTGTATCTGCCTAAATGTTGCAGTATTTAATGGTCCTAAAAATGTTGTTTGATTTCTTATTTAGTGTTTGGCGCCGTGCGCTGTACGGTGATAAATTTTGTTTCTATAAAAATCATGTAACAAAATTAAGATGAAACGTGATTCATTAATTTACTTGTAATGAAATGTAAAGTAGTCAAAGACCTTCCAACCTAGTGGTAAAGGCTTGGGCATGACATAATGATGAACCCGAGTTCGATCCCTGGAAGGGAAGTGTTGGCGACATTTAAGTGGGGCCATGTTTAGCCTCCAAATTTGCCGGGGATTAGTCGGGCTTTGGCCCGGACACTCTTACAAAAAAAATGTAAAGTAGAATGGATAATGTATTGCGTTTAAGAGGGGGTCAGAAAAGGGAAATTTATAAAAATAACCATTTTATACAACCTTTTGCCACAAAATAACCGAGTTTTAGAGGTTTTGCATATTTGACCACCCAGATCTACCCTAAGGACGATCCGTACACATATGGGGCGATCTGTACATGTTTGGGGCGATCCCCAATAGAATTCTAAAAAAAAATTAATTTTTTTTAAAAGACGAGATTACTGTTTACCCTCGAAGACCGGGTTTGACCTCGCCCTGGGGGGCGATCCAGGCTGTCCCATAGCCCCCAGGGGCGATCCAGCATTTTATTATTATTATTATTATTTTTGTGGTATTTTTAATAAAACTGATACGCCATTTAAGTTGTGTTTTTTAACTTTATAAGAACCAAAATTCATGGATAAGGTTTAAAAATAAACCATTATAATTATGGAGACGCAAAAATTATTTTTATCTGATTTAGGTTTCGTAAATCAGATATAATGTCTGATTTTTTCTTCCAAAATCAGCTAATTTTTTTTCGTAACCACAATTACCATTGTCTTATTTCATGCCGAAAAACCTTGAAATTTAAAATTAAATACGTAAAAAAACACAATTTATGTATTTTTCCATTTTTATTAAAAACACCCCTTAATTGTTAAATAAAAAACACAAAATAACAAAATAGAGGTCAAATTTCGTAAATCAGATATTATATCTGATTTGTTAATTTACTTGTAACAAAATTAAGATGAAACGTGATTCGTTAATTTAAGATGAAACGTGATTCATTAATTTACTTGTAATGAAATGTAAAGTAGAATGAATAATGTATTGCGTTTAAAACGTGGGCCAGAAAAACCAAACCCATATAATGACATCATTCAACTTAATCATATTCTCACCGATGTGGATAATCAAATCCAATACAAAAACTTGTTTTTATATAGTAATAAGTTGTAAACTTAAAAATACAGTGTTTAATAAGAAATAATAAATGTTATAATAAAATAATTTTGAAAGTACAATGATGTAGTAAAAAAGTCACATCACTATAGTACATGTGAACAACCTACGTGGACAATGAGGTGGCATGAAAACCCTGGTATAATGGGTAAATTTAAATCAAAAGGTTACCCAATGCTATAATTGGTAAATTTTTCAAAGTATAATGTCCTAATAAAAAATAGTTTGGAAATAGATTGTTGTAATAAGAAAAACTGAAAGTACAATGCTATAATAAAGAAATTTATGAAAATAGATTGCTATTTTGTATATTTTGTCCTTAATTTATTTGTGACAGAAGTAAAAATCATTTGTAATTATAATATTTGGTTTTATTTTAACATCGTTAATTTATTTCAAGTTAAAAAAGGTAAATCATAAAAAAAAGAAACAGATTTTATTTTTTATAATAAAAAGCGTAATTATTAAAATAGATTTGGATTCTTATCTCTAATTTTGTATCTCAAAAGTTGATTTGAATTACTAAAAGTTAGGTGGGGTTTGTTTTTTTTAAGAGGTGCTGAAGTCTGAATTCTGAATTCACTTCTGAATTTTAAGAGGTGGTTCTGAAGTCTGAAATCTGAATCAGTCAGACTGTTTGTTTTTACGTCTGAAGTCTGAAATCTGAATCAGTCAGACTGTTTGTTTTTACGTCTGAAGTCTGAAATCTGAATCAGTCAGACTATTTGTTTTTACGTCTGAAATTTTGAATCAATATAAACACGAACAATCGTGAGCTGTTGACATCGAGAGCATTCGAGAGATCGAGAGCTTGGACGGAGAGGCAGACAAAAAATCCTGAGCTGTTGACATCGAGAGCTAAGAGCGAGACCTTGAAATCGAGAGTTGAGAGCGAGATGGTGATGGAAGAGCGAGATGGAGACGAATAAATCGAGAGTTGAGAGCGAGATGGAGAAATCGAGAGTTGAGAGCGAGATGGAGATGGAGATGGGATGCGGCTCTGAAATTGATTTCAGACATAGAATTCCCACTTAATTTTAAGAGAATGGTAAGAGGTAAAAAAACTCTTAGTTTAAAAAAAAAACAAACAGTCTGAAATCACTTATGTCTGACCGATTAAGAGTTAAGAGACAATTAAATGAAAATATTTAAAAACAAACAGACCCTTAATCTCTTATTTGCTTAACAAACTTTATTAAATTAAAAATCATATTAAAATATATTTAAAACAAATTTTTTGAATTTTTAAAACTTAATAATTAGGTAAAAACATTATTATAAAATCCCAACTTGTACGAGCAAATAAAAAACTATTTTTATTCATTAATTACTTTACTTAAATAAAAATAAATCCTTACAGATATCTTTTTTGTTGTGTTTGATATCTGGATTAATAAGATCCTATATCGGTTGATAATGAGAACAAATGTTGTTTCTATAAGAGATTAGATACTGATTTAATCAGACGCGATTTAAAACCGTGAATGCAAGTCTGGACAAATCAGAGAATATCCGGTACGGTTGGTTTGAGATGTTAACAATGTTTTAAATGACGTGAGACGTGACATGACGACAAAGTCACGACGTTTTTTAAGGCGTACCTGAAGGCGATATATGCGTACATAATTTTGTGTATATATAATTGTATACGCTTGTGTTTTGAACAATCCCATATTAACTTTATATAACTAAAAAAGAACCATTTATATCAAATATATCAAGCTTACAAGAAAACGATATCAACAATTGTGGTCACTGAGTTTATTAGGGCTGATTTCTTGCAGTCACAGTTTGCCGGGATTAGTCTAGGTATAGCTTGAGACACTCTTTAAAAAAAAAAACAATATCAAGATTGCAAGCCTTAGTCTTAGTCGCCGTACATAATTATCATTTACCCTTCAAGTTGTATGTTTAAAAAGTTGATAAAAAACCCCTGTCCTACAAAATAATGTGTCGTAACGCATCGTAACATGCCATGATGCGTTACCACGGAAATCAAACCTCATAGTGGAGCCATAGGAGTTAACATGGCGACAAAGTCAAGACTCAATGTCGTAACGTGCCATAACGAGTTATTTAGAACCATGAATGTTCATAGCAAAATAATTGACATAATATAAAATACATATTTATTGTAGAAATTACGGTCTCCTTAAAATGAAATAAAATTGATTTCTTGCAACTTTAAAATGGTTTTTTCTTATTTTCGGCCACTGTTTTTTGAACACGTGATCTATAATATTAATAACACATGTAATAACCTTAACAATTAGCTACAACTACTTTTTGTTAACTTAAAGTAGTACACATTGATTTAAATTGAGGGCATTTTTATGACCAATAAAACCTATCATATGACAGAGTCAATTATACAGATAATCATGTACCCGAAACCTTGTATGTAGATTGGTCCTGCCATTAAAATAGGTGAAACAAAAAATTAAGAATACAAGAGAATATCGGTAAATTACTCAATTATCCATGTCAAATTTATAACCTTAAAACCTTTCAAGATTTCATTTACCCACCAGTCTCTTCCTCGTTTGTTTAGTTCTGTCATGTTCAGTCTCGTACACATTTGAAGCACATCTTTACATCAAGAATGTGAAGAAAATAGAGTTTGACAATGATATTTACAAGTGTTAATAACCATTTTTAGGACCCAAATTCATCTCTTAGGGGCCGTTTACCAAAATGCTTACCCGGTAAGTGCTTATCGATAGGATTCAACATTATAATTTATTTTGATACGTAAGATTTTTTACATCAAAACATATCGAATGCAACAAGTTACTGGGTAAGTGCTTACTTGGGTAAGAGTCGTCATTCTTACTTACCGGGTAAGACTCTCTATCATTTTCATTGCTCTTACCCGGTAAGATTTTTGGCCTTTCTCATGTTCATCCGATAAGGAAATTTATCCGGCATACACTTACCAAATAGTGTTTAGTAAACGGCTCCTTAGTCATTTTTTTCGGGAGATTTTCAAAGCATCACTATCTCCACAAATGGCAGTTCCGTGACTTGCATGAGTTAAAAGACAAAAAAATCACTTTTCATCCAGGTCCGTAAGTGAGCGAAAATTGAAAAAAAAAATCATTTTTCACCTATATCCGTAAATGATACTTTTAAAACGGGTGAAAAGTGAATATTTTTTATCTTTAACTTTTTGTTAAGTCACGAATAGGCCACTTGTAATATTTTAAAATATTCAAAAACAAATAGTAAAACATGAATTTAGGTGATGTTTGGAATTGCTTATTTGAAACAACTTATAATTTTCTACAAACATACTTATCAATTTATTATAAATCAGAAATGTTTAACTTCTTCAAAAACTTTTTATTACCGATTTAACATCGGTATAAGTTGTTTATCTAAACACTCAAAAATACTTATTACTAGTGTTACACCAGAATAAATCAATAAGTTGTTTTTATAAACAAACTCAAACAACTGATTAATCCATGAAAATAATTATTTATATTAATTTCCCAAAACTAAATTGGGTCCAGAAATATTCAACTTTAATTGTACCGCCCTCTCTCTTCTATAAATTTAAGAATCATGTGAGGGCTAGCATGACTACGAGTTGGCTGTATATGCCTATACTTGCCTTCTTCTCCTCTCTGTATTTCTGGTGTGCTAGCTAAAACAACAGAGCATCCATGGCGACGAGTGGGTTTGTTTTGTATCTGTTAGCCGGTTTCTCCCTCGCTATCTTATCGGTTTTCATGATATCCGGTCATGATACTTACAAAAGCAATCACCATATTCACCGTCCGTCTCCGAATTCAGTTGTTCTTCAAGCCGACGAGAAGACCTGGCCGGTGAGTTTCCGTAAATTTAACTTGTCTTCTCATTGTTATTATAATATGGACTCAAACCAATTATTTCGAACTTGGGATTTTGAATTTGGGTAAAAGGCTTTGGAGTTCGATTGGAGAATTGTGTTGGCTACGGTGATAGGGTTCTTGGGTTCTGCTTTTGGGACGGTCGGCGGCGTTGGCGGTGGCGGCATTTTTGTTCCGATGCTTACTTTGGTTGTGGGTTTTGATACCAAATCTGCAGCTGCTCTTTCCAAGTGTATGCTCTCTCTCTCTTTATATATATATATATATATATATATATATTAATTGCGAATTTGGGGAAACTGGAAAACATTTGCTCAATAAAATAGTAAGATATTTGTTCATAAACCTGACACCTTTGAACCCAAACATTATAAATGAGTTACAGTCACCAACTTCTTGGATTTGAATATGGTATTTGATCTCTGAAAGATCATGGGTAGATGGATTCATATCTCAAAAGGGTGTAAAGTGATTGGTAAAGTTAATCAAAGTTCACACACACACACACACACACACACACTCACTGTTTGACTTCTGAATATGTGAGATGTGTTAGTTTTTTCAATTTCAAAATCCCTTGACTGGATGGGGTTGCTCAAATGGTTTGAATCTGAATCAGTTTGATCATGTGGGTCTTCTGGAAAGTGAAATTGAGTGATTGAATGTTGAATTTGAATCTGGTGTTTGAAATCCTACAATCAGAACTGGAATCTCTTTGACAGATTGAGGGTTTACCAAATTTGATTCAAGAAATCTTGATGTTTTTTTTATGTGGGTATTGCTTCAGGTATGATAATGGGAGCATCAGCATCATCATTTTGGTACAATTTAAGAGTACCACATCCATGCCGAGAAGTACCGATTCTGGATTACGATTTAGCCCTCTTGTTTCAACCTATGCTCATGCTTGGAATCACCCTTGGTGTTGCTCTTAGTGTTGTATTTCCCTACTGGCTCATCACTGTTCTCATTATCATCCTCTTTTTAGGTACAATTTCTGGGTCTCTTTTTAAGATTTGATGTATAACAACCCGTTCCACTTTGATAGAAAAGTTGTTATAAGCCTAAAGTTGCGGGCCACCAATAACTTCCACTGTAGTTTTAAACGGATTTGGAGGTTATTAGCCTGCTGATTTGGGCTTGGCACGTTACATTCTACTCGATTTTGACAAAGAATCTTGGATTTATTGCATCTGAATCAAGATTATTGATCTAATTATTGCTTAATTTAAGTTTGAGAAGGTGATGGATTGATCTCTATTTTATTATCAAGTAGTTTACATGTTACGAAACCAAGGTTTCTTTGCGATTTTTTTAATTATTTGTCAATATAAACAGCTCCTATTTAAATTGATATCTGTTTATTGATTGAAACACTAATCATTGATGTTTCTTGATCTGGCTGACTTAATCTATACTCTCGCTGTCCCGAAACAAAAGCATTGTTTACTATTGATGATGTATCAATCTGAGATTACTTTTTTGTCGTTACAATACCATAAGATTCTTTTTATCTTGTCGTTTGATTTTTGTCTAATATCACCCCGATGATTGTTGATAGGGACGTCTTCACGGTCTTTCTTTAGGGGCATCGAGATGTGGAAGGATGAGACGATACTGAAGGTAAGAATACCTTTAATATTTCAGTTTTGAGAACGAATATTATTCATCATGAATATAATGATTATTCATTATGAATACTTTTCAAAATGAATATTTATCACGAATAAAACATGAATAGTTGGCTCCTGGTTTTCAAAATATTTACTGTTTTCGTTTGAACCTGCCTTTCAGTTATTACGACAACTATCCAATCTTTTTGTGTAACCTTTTTTTTTATTCGGATGATGCAGAAAGAAATGGCAAAGCCACGAGAAACGTTTGTTAATTCTCGAGGGGAACGTAAGTTGCTCAAAGATCCGTTGAATTTGTTTGGTGTTATAATGCAATTTTACGTATAAGCCTTTCGATAATTTCTTTGCATCGTTTCTGCTTTCAGTTCTAATCGACACTTATGAGCCTTTGCTTCCTAGAGAAGAGAAAACTCCAATGGTGAGCATCGACTGCTTTAGTATCTGGACTTTAACTTCTCAAATAGATTTTGATTATGTCTAAACCTTTTTCCCGACAAATTTGCAGCAAATATTTACATTTAACTTACGCTGGAATAAGCTTATGCTCTTGGTTGTCGTATGGGCTGCCTTTCTAGTTCTTCAGATCATCAAGGCAAGTAGTTCTCGTGCAATTATACTTCATTCGTCTCATAAAATCTCTACTTCTTTTGCAATGCTAATAACCGTTGCTATAGACAACAAAGTCAGTCTTATAGAACCACAAAGGTGGTGACTGATTGGTTTGAGCTTGGCTCCAAAGGTCAAATGTATCAGGAGGTCCCAGGTTCAAATCTAATGAGGAATAAAAATCCCTTTATGGCCACGGAGGTTCAAATGCGGTGACTCCGGGCTATCTGCAAAACAGGTGGTCGCCCTGGGATTAGTCGGCTCGCATAGCGGGTTGGATATCCAGGTTAATAAAAAAAAGTCAGTTTTATAGGACGTCAAAGAGTGTCATAAATCATAATATACTGCTTTATAGGATTTAACTTTATTGGACCAAACAATTGTGTGTCGTATATAAAAGTGTTACAATAAGATGCTAGGATGTTTTTGGGCATTCTAACAAGTATTTAGGACACTTTTGAAATAAAATGTCCTATTAGTCTTTTTATATTACTTATTTGAAAAAATGTCTTATAAAACAAATGTCCTATAAAACAATGTCATGGGACATTTTTCAAAAGTGTCATATAAAAAGACTAATATGCACTTTATTTCAAAAATATCATAAAAAACTTGTCAGAAAGCCAGAAAGCTTGTTATCATCTTATTATAACACTTTTATATAGAACACGCAGTTGTTTGGTCCTATAGACCTAAGTCTATTAGGACATTCAGACATATTTGGCGTCTTATAAACCCGATTTTGTTGTAGTGCCTTGAATAATATCTAGTGAGGGAATCTTGTGGACTATCGAATGATGATAACGGGTAGCTTGAAATTTTGCCAAGAACGGACCTTTTTCGATATGGGTCATCTCAAAATGGGAACTTTTTGCAATTTCTAAAAGATTCAAATGCATGTGTTCTTGAATCCTAATTCTTGGCCTCTTTGTATCTTCTGCAGAACGATTTAGTAGTTTGCAGTACATGGTATTGGGTACTCACGGTTGCTCAGGTACGGTACAGTTTCGAGATAGCATTCACTGCCTTGTCGGCACTGTACAAAAATGCACGAATGTGGGTACGATCTGAGCCCGTTTTGTTTGTTTCAGTTCCCAGCAACGCTAGCAGTTTTCGGGTACGAATGTGTTAAGTTGTACAAAGAAAGCAAGAAGAGGAAGAGCTTGGGGAACACTGAATCGGTGTGTGAAGCTTCCATCGAATGGACTGTTCCCCATCTTGTATTCTGTGCACTTTGTGGAATCTTGGGCGGCACCGTTGGCGGCCTTTTGGGGTCCGGTGGTGGCTTCATTCTTGGCCCTCTGTTACTTGAGATCGGTGTCATACCACAGGTACACAAACTGAAAGAATATTCGGTTTCATTAAATGGTATAATACGACAACCGTATGTTGTCATATTTAAAAGTGTCATTTAATTCTTTCGTTTTGTTGTTGAACAGGTGGCAAGCGCGACAGCGACGTTTGTGATGATGTTCTCGTCATCCTTATCCGTGGTGGAGTTCTATCTACTCGACAGGTTCCCGATCCCTTATGGTACATTCCCGTCACCATCTCATGATAGTCGTTTTTTCTCAAGATACGTAAAAACCCGCATACGATTTTAACTTTTTACGTTCTTACAGCATTATACCTCATGTCGGTATCCATTTTGGCCGGTTTCTGGGGACAGTTTATCGTAAGAAGAATTATTACATTTCTAAAGAGGGCTTCACTCATCGTCTTCATTCTTTCTGCTGTCATCTTTGCCAGTGCTCTTACTATGGGTAAATTTCTCAATCTTTTATTCCGTAACAAAATCGGCCTTATAGAATGCTATAAATTTCTCTATCTTTTACCTTAAGGTTTCGTTTCACATGATTTTTTTCCATGTATAGTATTTAACGTATTGATTAACATATATTTGTCTCACAATTTGTTTGTATCGTATGTAATCCTTCCACAATGTGAAACTCTTTTACGTGTATTTTTTGTTTCACAAACACATCTAAATGTGAAACAAATATATGTTAATCAATATTCTAAATCCTAGTGGTAGATAGAAAAAAATCATATGAAATAACACATGATGCACAAGTTCTCAAGATTATCATAATTTCATGGATTCTCAAAAGAATGTCCTCGTAGAAGAGAATTAGGTTTTATTTTGAAGTTATATTGGTAAAATATAGGTATGTTCCATCTTGTTCCATGGGATGGGGGTGGAACACATATGTTCCACTTTGTTCCTGTCTGTTCCATGTTCCACATTAAAGTCCTGCCAAACATGGAACAACGATCCTTGTTCTGTTTTGTCATGTCATGTCTAGTGTACCAAATACACCCTTAATGAACGAAAGGTACTAGAGACCGGAACGGTGTCGGGACCAGCCGACCTGATTGCAAAGTAGCTTAATTGGTCCCGTCTCGGGACCGGTTTTGGCCATCACTAGCGGAAGGTGTTTTAAAACCCCATGCTACCATTTATCCTTCTCAAAAGAAAGGTTAAACAATCATGCTATCGACTTATTGTAACAACTTTACGTAGAATACACGATTATTTAGTCTTATAAACTTAAGTCCTATAAAACAGTTTACTATGACATTTAGACATATTTGATGTCCAGTAAAGCAGGTTTTGTTGTACTGTGTGCTTACGGAGTTGTACTTATATGCACAGGGGTTATTGGAATCGAGAGGAGCATCAGAATGATCCACAACCATGAATTCATGGGGTTCCTTGAGTTCTGTAGCAGTAAGTAAGCACTCAAAAGTGATTAATGGTATTTATGTACAGAATTATACAGCAGTGTTGAGGAGGTGCTTTAGGCCAATGTGCGTTGGCCGATCGACCGCCCGCAAACAAGCGTTGTTATGATTCATATTCATTGTTACTGAGTCTCATGTGGCTGTGGAAATAGGGTTTTGGGGGTCGATGTTAACCAGTCGGTTAACAACAGCGCCACCACCATCGCCGCCATGCCACCGCCACTGTGGTCTAGATTTGTAGTGTGGAATAAAGTTTCGGGTTGCGAAGGAGTGTTAGCTAGCGTTAACACGAAAAGCAACCTTCAATTTGTTGGATTAGTATTTGCATTGAATTATATTTGATTTATTCTGCATATAATTAAAAGTTGCAACTTCGTATGATATCCAAACCACCTGCTATGCGAGCCGACTAATCTCAGAGCGACCACCTGTTTTGTAGATAGTCCGAAGTCATCGCATTTGAACCTCCGTGGCCACAAGAGGATTTTTATTTCTCCTTAGATTTGGACCTGTGACCTCTTGATATTTTTTTACCTTTGTAGCCAAGCTCAAACTAATAAGACACCACCCTTGTGGTTTATTATTATTATTATTATAAGATAAAAGGTGAGAAACAAATATTCCATAATTGGAAGGGACGTAAAAGGATAAGTTTTTTTATTATTATTTTAAATGATTAAATGTTTAAATTATTTTTTAATGAAAAAATTACGAAACTTTTTCGTTTTAAATGATTAAGTTTTGAAACTACTTTTTAAATAAAAAATCATTAAACTTTCTCATTTTGATTGATTAAATTTCTAAATATAGTTTTCAACAAAATAAATGATCAAACTTTTAAAAATTGGTTAAACACATTATTTTAATCTAAAAAAGTACTTGTAACCGACTAGAAAGATCTTAAAGTAAAATTACTTATAACCATCTAAAAATATATCAAAAATAGGGAGATCGTTGACATGGGCCAAATGTGTGATAGCCGAGGACAGAGACTGTCATGGGGGAGTGATACCATTGTTTGCGAGGGGTCTTAAAGATGTAGAATTTGGAAACTGTAAAACTGATTTAGGTCTTAATATTTTAAGACCTTTCTAGTCAGTTACATATAGTCTTTTTTTTTTGTTAAAAAAAAACAGACTATCAAAATTTTAAAAGTTTGATAGTTTATTTATTACAGATAAAATATTCAAGAATTTCATCATTCAAAATGAGAAAACTTTATGGTTTTTCATTCAAAAAAATAGTTCAAGTACTTAATCATATCAAAAAAGAACTTAACGATTTTTCTATTCAAAAAAATAGTTAAAAGACTTAATTATTCAAAACATGATAGTTTATTAGGTTTTTATAAAAAAAAAAAATTCAATAAAATAAAGAGCTTACTTGTTTAAAATAGTCATTCTGGATAATCCAATTCATATTATAACAACTTTTACAATTTGTTAAAGTGCTACTTGTTAAATGTTAACAAAAAAGCGTCACTTACTTCCTAACTCAGTAAAACATCGCTTATAAAATATTAACTATTTCGATCAATTGAATAAGAAAGTACAACGTATCGGGGCCTAAAATAGGCATAGTGGACAATTATCCTTTAGAAATAAATATTCCCAAAAGTGGAAGGGACAAACTAATTTTGCCTTTTCAAGTGATATGATAACCAAAAACAAAATGAGACCACAACTTCAAATTCTCATCTTCACCCATGATTTCCTCTCTAAAGTAAATCCATTTATTTACAGTTTTATTTGTTTTGTTTTAAAAAAAAAAAAATGTTGAATTCTGAAGTCTTATATCACTTTTGATTGATAAGAGGTGATGTTGAAGTGTCAAATTTGAATTAATAAAACTGTTTGTTTTTTTTAAACTGATGAACGTCTGAAGTCAAAAATCTTAACCAATAGTTTGTTTTTGTAAAATCAGGTGCAAACATTTTTATCAAATGCTCTTGATTTTTATGAAATTTCCATTGTTGAAATTCATCTCAATAATTGTTTAATAGATGGAATACAGTAAGAACCTTTTGGATACCTTTCAGACTTCCGATGCTATCGGGAATGCCGTCGGTGAGTTTGTTTGCGGAAGGACCAATAATATAGATCACCGATAGAAGTTCTTGTTTCACATTAATCTTCTAAGCTAACTTATACGTACAAAAATTATACGTGTGTGCGTGCGCGCGCACACACACACACACACACACATATATATATATATATATATATAGAGAGAGAGAGAGAGAGAGAAGGCGGGGGAGCATTTCACATGGGGGATGAAAGGATGGTGGCGTCCTTGGTGGATAAAGAATCAATAACCAAAGAGAATAAAAAAAGAAAATAAGAGGAATTAAGATATTAGTTTTCCTCTTATTTATTTCAGACCCTATTAAGTGATAAGATGTTCTTAAAATAATAAAAAAAACAGTCTGAATTAGAAAAAGTCTGAACGAATCAGACATAAATGATAATTAAGAACTGAAAATGAAAAAAAATAAACAAGGCCTAAAACTTGCCCGCGGCATGTAGTTCATGCTGTGAAGGAGTAAGGTGATTTATCAAAAACACAAAACATGTTCCGTGTTCGTTCTCAACCCCCAGCTTAGCTTCAATCGTTGGTTCAGCCAAAAAAATTGACTCCTCATATTGATGTCTGTAAAGGCGGGTTTCATGTGAGACCTATTAAAATTATCAGTAATCAACTTTTTATCCAAATAAGGATAAAAATTATTATTATTGTTATTCTGTTATTTTTTTTATCCTTAATTATCAATTGTTAATTAACTTTAGTAAAATAAAGTGGTGACAAGTTTGCTTTCTCATTCTCCTTCAACTTGTCAAAAGTGGTTAGAAATATGATTTGTTAATTCATATATCATACATTTAAATTTTATAATTCAATATTAAATAGCAGATTATCGGTGATATTATACCAGATAAACGACAACAAAAATACTGTTTACTAAGTCTTTTTTACATTTAAAAAACCATGTAAGTCCAATGTTATTGAAACGAGACCAAAGCAAATTAACATAGTATATTTAACTCGAAAGTAGAGTTTGAAAAATTGTGAGATCTATGAGAACTTCTACCAAAAGGTCTTGTTTCACGTGATTTTTTCTCCCGTCGATATATAATGTACTGATTAACGTATGTTTGTTTCACAATGTATTTGTTTCATATGTATTCAGTTCACAATGTGGAACTTATTTACATGTACTTTTTGTTTCACAAACACGTAAGAAGTGTTCATATTGTGAAACAAATATATGTTTTAAATCCTAGTCTTAAATGATAACAAAAAAATCATATTAAATAACACATTATGTACAAACTTTCAGGTTTATCACAATTTCATGGGTCCTAAAAAAGACAAACATGTATGTATATATATATATATATATATATATATATATATATATATATATATATAGAGGGTTGGGTTCACGTGAGACCAAAGATTTTTCGTGAGACCCATAAGACCAATTTATGTTCATTGATCAACATTATAAGCTAATGATTTAATGGTCTAAAGTTGCAGTGACAATTTTATGATTATTGAGAAGTCTCGTGGCAATTTTGTGATTATTGAGAAGTCTCGTGGCAATTTTGTGATTATGAATGTTAACATTGTAGATCTAATCCAAGAGTTGAGAATTGGTCTTACGGGTCTCACGAAAAACCCTTGTACAAACATATAGTTCTCATTTGATTAAGCCCCTATATATATATATATATAGACTTGGGATCATGTGAGACCAGCCTGTTTTCGTGAGACCCGTGAGACCAGCATTTTACACTTGAAACTTC